ACTACTGTCCTCCATTTCATGTACATATCAGCTTAGATTTCATTGCTTATTATTGGCAAGAGCTAGGAAGTGGTTGAAGTACTAGGTTTTATTCATTATACAAGGAAGCTTGTGAGCAAGACAAAAGAAAACCGTTATTCGACATATAGTGCAAAAAACATACGGTACTCGTTATAAAGTGGGGATAATTCACCAGGGTTATCAGACTATGATATTTGACGAGATCATTTTTAAGCCCTGACGTACTTCAATCAAAGGAACTGCTAAGCATTGCTAAAGGTATTTCAAGGTGAGGAAATTCAAATAGTACTAAATACGGATTTTACATTGAAGGGTTGATCTCTCCTTTAAGTGCAATGAAAAAGTTTTTACTTTTGACATGAAGAGGTTTTTAAAAACTACAAATTTGAACCGTATTTCATTGCGCATGCCCTTATTTCTTAATTTTCAAACCCAATAAAGTGAATCTTATATGCTGCTAAAACTGATTAGGTAGTTTTTGTAAATACCCATATTATGACACAGTCATAGTCGGTCCAATTTTTACTGGCATGAATGAAACATTGAATCAACACGCGTTCCATTAACACTGCCATAAAGTGATAAAGTAATTGCACTGGCTTGTTTTATGTCGTTATCCACCTTGATAAATACTTCTGTTTCCTGAATAATTGAATGCGAGCAAGCAAGCGATGCATATGAGAAAAGCAAGAGTGAATTAATTCACAAAATATCTTTTGGATTCGTCAACTGAATGACCGAAACATGTGGTGCAATCGTAATCCCAAAGTTGACGCAAATAACGACTAGGCATAATATTAAGTTATTTCCATGCTTTAAAGTTTATTTGTACAATTGATAAAATATCAAGACGTTCCAATCTGTTTTTAGCAAATTATTTTTTTTCAATATTGACATCAACCAGATAACTGGCAAAACGAGCAGACTGTAGACATATTGTGACAAAGACCAACATCTCCTGATCTCATTCTAGACGTAATCACAAATAACTTCCATAAGATAACCGAAATCAGCGAAGACAGTAAGCAGTAATACTGTCTGTCTTTCCAAATTGGTCATCTATTATTACTATTTCCGGAATAAATTTACATGGAAAGCCAAACTAATGGTTTAATACTGTTTGGATAAATAAACAGCTTAAAAGAGATAGAGATGAAGTATACTTTTCAATAAACAGCAGGTTTGTATCTAACTGCATATAATATTTGCTTAATGAATACAAACAAATTAACCGTCAATGATAAGGGGAATATACTGAAATGTAAATAGTGTGCTGTAACTAAGATGCATGAGGCAAAAGTAGTCTTTAACTTCATATGCGTTAAGATAATATCTTTGTAACATCCGATGGTTTCTTAATTCCAACGGTGGGTTTAAAACTGAAGCACCAATTACTAGAGACGATCTAAATGCCATTATTTCCTCCTAATGAGACTCCTTAGCTAGTAAAGATAACCGATACCAAACAAGTCAAAAATACTTCATGGACAGAATTGTAGGAAATAATTTGTAGGCGGGAAACTGACCCTTTATAACTTCACTTAGATGGAAATTTGAAAAATTCATTTCATATGATTTTGGTTGTATCATCGCGTCGTTGACTAGACCAATATGATCGGTTTTTATTGGCATATGAACTCCTGCGTCGATGTTACCTGAGTCTTTGTGAGAACAACATCACTCAATGATATGCGGGTACATCCGGCTGAAGAGTCTCAGAAGGGTGAAACGCACGTCCTGGATTCCACTGTTAGCCACATAAAGATCAAAGTTCATTTCAATTTTAAATTTTATTTGGCTATATTCTTGGTAATGATGGTGATTATATTCCCTTTAATTTATTGCATAATCTCCTCTCAAGGAAGAATTAGTGGTGTATGTTTCCACCGTTAATCTGTTTTATTTCCACTATACCACAAACCAACACTATAAATGCAATCGAAAAGTAGGAAGTACTGTGCTACTGTCTTTGCCTACGCATTTACACATCGAAGTTTCATTAAATGCCGTAATAATTTCTAACCGCATTCAAGTCAGCTCCTACATTTGACAAATGGCTGAAAAGACACACTCGTACGTTATTAACGCTTCTTTTAAAAAAGAGATCAACTGACTGGAAAACTTTTCTTTCCTTTGTTTGGATGAAAGGAAAAGATTTCAGTAGTAAGGATAGAGTATATCCAGTTAATAGATTGCTCAATACCAAAGATTATTTGTGACAGTAATTACCAGTTAGTCAGTAGTCGGATGAATAGAATCCACCTTTTGCCCCTCAACCTCAACAAATCCATATAGCCTAGAGCTAATTTTAGCTTAGAACGAAAAAGCATGCTTCACGACTTATTCACCTAGCTCGGACAATACAATGCCACCGAAATGATCATTGCAAACTATTCTCTTCTATCTCAAAATTTTAGCTTCTTAAAAACTTATTCCAGCATTTTAAATTAATCCTCTAAAAATATTAGGACACAGAAGAGACAAGCACTGTTATTCAGTCGTCTGAATGATATGAATTCAAATGAATTAGTACTGTTGATTATGATCTTTTAGTGATAATACAAGTCATTGTGACATATTTGTCTTGTCTAACTCGTATTACCTTCAATTTATTCGAGCATTACACATTTTGAAATTCAAATGTGACTGTCTGAAAGTCATACGTCACCTCAGGCAAATTTGGTTTTTACAAGGTGTTTTACAATGTACAGAATTCACTTGTATAGGTTGTTTTATATGTTCATAAAATTTTTTTAAAAATTTCTAGCATCTTTAAACTAGAATACATAGTAGCGGATGAACTATATTACTCGAAAACTTGACCCGGTTCTAATCTATTATTCTTTATTTTAGCTTGAAAAATATTCACTTGTCAAATTATAACTTATTTTAACTAACCAGTAGTTAATAGACAACGGAATACAAAGCTGCTTGTAATTTTACAGCCCTGAGTAGCTTGGATCTGCAAACCGATACCTAGTGTGTAAAAGAACGTTATGGATACTCCAAATTTTTCTTCACAGCAATTTAATTCACTGTTACTTTGCCAACGAGTTCTTTACATTATTTTCCGTCCAGTATCATTTAGACTACTTTCGTCCTCTGATGTTGTTTGGACCGAACAGATAAGCCAGTACTGGCATATCGGCTGCTATGTGGATGCCTTAATATTGCCGGTATTTCCAAATTTGATATCAGCGATGGAGATTCACAAGCCACAACACCAGACAATATACTATCACCGTGGTACAATGAGTGATTACTGTGACTCCTTAGCTTGGTGGATTCATGTCTGACATTTGGAGCGATTAGTCCTTGATTCGAATCCTAGTAAGAATAACATCATTCATTGGGAAGCACCCATACTGAGCTGACAAGTCCAAAATAGGACGAAACGCACGTTCCGCATTCCACTGCTAGCCACTACTCATCATTTTCACTTTCTTCCCTGCCTTAATACGGTATTACATACTAGCATATTCTATTGAATGTGTAGGTTCACTACTAGTATTCATTTCTTATTGGGTTTCCAATTAATGTTTTCACAATAACGTAAGTGAACTGTAATGCATGCCATTTTTCACTACGTCTTCCTACCCCTTTCAAACTTTTCATACATATAGAATTTTCATATTGCTAAAGTTAATGTGTTGTCTTAGTTTTAAATAAATATGTTTATCGACGATTGGAAATTTTCCGTTCTAATTAACAAAGCAAAAATGTAACAGCAAAGAAAATTCCCTTCTCAATGACTCCACTTAATAAGGCTGTACAATAGTGTTTAAATTTACTGGAAGCAAATGACAGTACACTATTGATCACCAGGGTCACGTGATTATCATAATATTCCAAACTAGAATAGAAAGTTTCCCAAGCGATCAGAAACTTGCTACTTCGATCATAACAATGCCAGTCGGTGCAAGTAATATCTTTGAACACAAGGGATAGGTTTAAGTTTGTGCATTGGTGACGCAGACAAATGCCTTTTGAATTATGAGGAAGCATTCTGTAAAGTGCCTTGAAGAAACCACTGAAAGCGATCAGATGTTTGGAGACGACAAGATTTTCAAGTGTAGAACTGTTGACATTTTTTTGTCTCCACTCAACTGTTAGTCTGAATAGTGTTCCGAAATACGTTTACGGGTTTGTCAGCGTGTACAGCTGAAGTACGCTACGCCACAGGAACGAGTAAAATGATGAATTCATATAGAGGTGGCCTAAAGAGATATTCGGTCTTTAACGCACATATAGATTAATTGTCTGTTAGAAAATGTGATTCTCAGGTTAGCTGCGTGAAATGTCTTCCTCAAAAATCTTCAAAGGGAGCTCTCTAGTATTTCATCTGCGATGTCGCCTTTGAATTCCGGTTTATGTAAAGAGTTTTTTTGACACGGTTGACACTGTTTGTAGTTGTACTTTTGCTTTCATGTCAGAGAATAAAAATCTAGCTAGAAAAACTTTTTCTAGTTGGATGCTAATTACAAACCATAGTTCAGCATCTAGTTTACCTTCAGATCACATTTTCCAATCCCTTGACCGTAAGGAACGTATAAGGTTCTGTTTACTAATGAGAGGGACGTAATCGGTGAGTGGATGAACTATCCAGTCCATGTTGATCTTGTCTACAGTAATCTCTAAATAAAATTATCTGATCTTCATGTGAGTAGCACATCCAATAATGGGAACATCGAATTTTTTGACAATCAAGAGTGAATTCTATGCGTGCTGAAAGTTTCCAGGAGGTTGATCAAATGAGATTCTTCATTGCATATGATAAAAATGTCGTCGACGTACCCTTTATATTGGTATAAATAATCGATTATGCAGTGTTCAGCCGAGTAGTACTACAAAAATTTTAAAATTCCACTAGATCCTCATTTTTATACTTTTGTGGCTTCTTTAAAGTTTGTATCATGAAAGAAATGCTTCCTTAGTTGATTCTGTTTAGTCTTGATTTACTCTTATATTTATTAAAACAGGATCCGAATCAGACTTTTGAACAACTGAAGGAGGACTTGAGGTCTGCTGGATTCAGTGTGGATGCAAGTCGTTCACATACGATCGCCTCAAGTATTAATGTGAAAGAATTCAAAAAGGTATGCATTATAGAATACTGTTTAGCAACTTATATTTCAACTAATTCTCTCAGGATTTGGTATGATTAAAATGCCATATCCATAGACGATATAATGCTTCAAGCTTAAAATCAGATGTTGCAGTGTGTTTCTTATCATTCAGCCTTAAATATCATCCATGTCTAGGCTGTGTTACGTCGTTTCATAAAAGAGAGTTAAATGGAAATACTGGAACAGTGTTTAGTTAGAAATCTGGTAACTGAGGATGTCTTCGGGTTTCCATCCAATACAGATAATGCTCAGTAATGTTCAGGCAGAACTTCAGCAATATGGTAGTGGGCCACGAGTTCGAACACCGCCTCACCTATCGAGGTTTCAGGTAGCCAGGTAGCCCTCACACATTAGGTGTGGGTCATTGACTACTACACGAATGTGCACAGTGTTGTTGAGTGCATTTCGAATTTTTCTTTTATTTAGTATATAATTCTCCGTTAATTTGTTTGTTGAATAATTCACGAAGTAAAATAGTATTATTTATTGAATAGCATTTGGAACACAATTCATTATTCATTGTCATGTCAAGAGTAAGACATGGTTATAAACAAAATGTTATGTTTGCTACGTCACCCATTAGATAATCTTTGTACTTTCAGTGCAATTATCCAATAAACATAACATGAAATAACCGAATGCATTTTTAATTAAATCGCATGTTATGATTTAATACCATTCTTAACAATCGTTTTGCTGATTGATCTTCATCGACTTGTCGCCAACTATGTCGGTTAGTGTTCAAGAGAACTTTCTTCGCATTGATGTGATGCAGTACTTATGAAGAAATCCCATAAAAAATCATTAAACGTTTTCTTTCACTTTGGTATTAACAACAGAAGAAAGAAATTAATTTACAAAATATACATGAATTTCTCACAGTAAAGTAACCGATTTGGCTCTTAAACTCTAGGCACTGATTCCAGTTAATCGATCAAGTTTGTAATGTAACCAGTGAGCTGAATGATGCAAAAATCTAGTCCTCCGTTATTTGGTATAATATTTCCTAAGTCAGTCTGTACGAAACCCTGGACATGATTTTGAAACTCATGAGCAAGGCGTATCTTCAATTTTTCGAAGTGTTCTATCGTAGACTCAGACCCGCTTCACTGAGTGCTTTAGTCAGACTTTGATGTTTTGCAGTTCAGAACGTAGCTAGTTACTTGTATGAATAGATTTTGCAGATTTTTGTAGAAGTGGTCACTGGGTAGTAACCAATGCAGTTCTGAAGTTCTAGAGAACACTTTTTCTTGGAGGTTGAAAAGGAAACTTGCTGATTAGTTCCAACAGGTGGGAAACTAGGCTTCGGGTTTTCTTTTCATCGAAAGTGATCTTTTTAAAAAGTTCTATCAATAATTGCTTTGACTGAATAATATAATGTACATTTAGGAAGTAACGAGTAACTATAGAAGTAGTTTCTTCAAGGTGAAATTTAAGCACGATTCCCTTGTTTTTGGCATGATAAATTAGAATACACTTCAGTACTCAGTGAATTTTCACTCAACAGATAAAAAATCAGCGTGTAAGTACGCTGTAATACAGAATTCATTGATTCTTATGGGAGAATATGTGATCAAATTCGCTCATTTATTGATGAATAAAACTGCATAATTAAATAAAATCTCATCTTTGTCTGAGTGTACGGCAGACTTTTGAAGAGGCTAGTTACTTCTCCCTACGGGGTTGGCTTATGTTACTTAATTGATTTCACTCTATTTTTTCAATAACTCTTATTGAGCTTCAGATAAAAAATCTAATTCAATTTAGGCACAAGTAAATTCAAAAAATGAGGCATGACCTAAAACGTTAGCTCACTTCATAATATCAATAAAACAGACGATTAAACCGGAATGGAAGTCAAGAAACAAGTTGATCTTACTACACTAGAGATTTCAAAATCTACTTGGGTTAGTATTATTATCAATATTCAGTTCTTGCGAAACAGTCCCTTCATTTGTTACCACATTTCGTTTTTTAGAGCCTGCGTGAATAACGTTTTCTAAGCTTGGGTAGCTGTTTCTTCCACACATTTTGTGTGTAACGTGATAAACAGAATTATTTCTGCAAATTAACACTGGACTGTATGCTACAGTTTTCGATGAACCGTAAAAACAAACTAGAATCTGAAATCACAGTGATCCAAATGTTCTTTGAACAAAGCACCTAAATATTCGGTAGTGATATTTTGGTTCAGTAATTTAAAACTTAATAACATGCGACCCGAAATGTTATTCTGTTTCTTATTTGTTTGCATTGATGATAATGATGATGACGATTTACTTGTAAATTTACAGTTACATTAAATCACTACTGTCATTTGCAGGAAGTTCAAGGTACACGAATCCAAGGTCTTCAAATAATACTTCGTCACATTCTGCTGACAAACCAGAGTTTTAGTCACTAGAAATTGCAGAAAATTTTGCTACTCAAATTGAGGTTCATGAACATGTAGTACTCGCACAAGATTCTAAGTATTACTGTGAATTCTTCATTACTAGTTTAGATGACTTCAAATGTTTGAAATGCTGAAGTACGACAGACTAGAAATCTGATTTGATCAGTAATTTGCTAACATATATGTCTGTGTCGATTAAAAAAGGATATGACAGGTAATAATACATGAACCGTATTGATACTGGTTGGCGATTGAAAGTGAAATGAAAACGTTTGCAGCGGCAGGACTCGATTGGGATGAGAACTATTGACTCTGTAGCTAGTGTGAGTACTATGAATCGGTAGTAACACGTCATGAGTTCACATGGCAGTGATTGAAATGAAATAAACATCTGGTCAGCAGTTAGGTCTTGTAGCTCAGTTGTTCGAACCTGGGCCGGAAACCTGATTCGAATCCTACCGCGACCCAAATCATAAGTTCATCTCCAAACATCACTCAGCATCAATGTTAGTCTGCCAGACCACATCTACCTCATATATTCTACTTGGTCATCAACTGAACAATATATTTACTACTATATCAAGGGTGAATTAATGAAACAAATTGAAGGTTGTTTTAAACGTTATTTCATTTATTTCACCCTCATGCATTTAGGTTGTGGACAAATCCCAACCAGAGAGTAGAAGTAAACGATATGATATTACTAGTGACCAAGTGAAACCTCATACTGAAATGATGACTAGTACTTCCATCGTAACCATTACACCCACCACTTCTCATTCAATAACTTCAAATAAACCGACAAAATCAAGTTCAATGGAGGAACCGAAACCAGTCAGTCGTAAAGGAAACATGGGCATTTCTGACCTTATTCCAGTATTCGATTCGACTCCAGGTTTGTTATTATCTTGATTTGTTCATTCGTATAGTTTTGTATATTATGGAATTTTTTCAATATTTAAAAGTTAACATCCTACCACCTCACGCATGAATTCATAGCTTAAATCAGTCTCTTGTGAAAAACTTCATTTTGTGCTCAGGTTTTGGCATTCGCTTCATAACACATAAGCTTTTCATACTTCCAATAATACAATAAAGCTAACATGTTTTATGTGACCAATACTGATGAACACAAAAAACACCGATGAAGTTTTATTTAATTGAATTTTAACTAGTCTTTTCATGCTTGTACATTTAAATAAGCCGAATACTTGAAAGCCAAAAGCCAGGTAAACTGACTGTCAAATATAAAAGCTGTTTAATAATCAACTCCATTCTGTACTTAGTGTTCCTAAAATGAAAATCATTTAGTCTTAATTTGCTTGAATGCTCAAATCGGATATTGGCTGAATCTTTTACATAACGTAGCTCCTCATACTGGCATAAACAAACCCCATACTTTGATGAGTACCGCAACAGTGTATCAACAATTCAATCGCATTCCACATTGTTTGCATTCTGCATGTAACTGTATCTATGCTTAAATGGGAAGAAGTAGTGGTAAGGGTGGCGGGAGGGATTGTAATTATAACAAAATATTTGTTTAACTGACATCAGAAACGGATACACCTTTAATGGTTCCAAAAATGCTGATGACAAAGACATAGTATCAAACAGTTGGGAGGGTATGCCATATCTAATCAACATATTTAATGTAGCATTAAATGATCCAGTAAAGAAAATTTTATTTTCTTGAAACATTCTCAATAGTTGTTCAGTGCTATTTTCAATTAAAACGAATAAGTCGGTCTATTATTAGTTAATAGACTAACACTAACTCATTAGACAGAAATTTTCTATAAAAAAATAATAAATCGTTTCTGAAAGTCAAAATTGGTTGAATAATCATGGGATATGTATGAAAAGTACACATCCAGTCACATAGGAAGCTTTGAAGTTCACAAAATTATAAACTGTGATGAAATGTTTCATAATTATGATGGAGAAGGGAAACTAACAAGTGTTGATGTAAGAAATTAAGCCATAAATGAAAACCATCACGATAACTCGGACAATAAGAGTGAAGTGGATATTGAAAAAATAAAGGGAATCAAAGAAGTTCTACGACCATAAACAAAGCGATAAAACGTACATCTTTTACATGTATAGCCTAGGCTTTAGTTGCTGGATAATCAGCATTTCTACCATACACGAGTGACAAATCCAAACCCCTTCCTAACATTTTTATTTGATTACGTGTGGAGTTTTAAAAGAAGACTGTCGGGAACCAACGTGATCAATGACAATAAATTGGTCCATAATGGATCTGTTGCATGAACTACATTCTCCTCTGGTTGGCCAGACAGAATGGTGTCTGAAGATACTTTTAGGAAGATCATGGTTCATATTACCTACATAATTAGTCACATGAAGGCAGGTAATCTAGTAGGCACACACAGATATGGCCAGCGGGAGCAATTGGGCCTTCAAACCTTAAATCAACTATTGGATGGAGAAGGTAGTTTAGTATTCATAAGCAGAGAATGCTCTTCTGATTGCCTTAAACAGTTGGTTCTTGAGCATTTTGTGGCCCTGTCGCCTTTGAATTAAATGTTCATGGACGCGATCTTCCTAGGAATAGTAGTAATTTGTATTCTTTGCTTCTTTGTTCTTGCAATCAATTCTGGGTATAGCTGTTATGCAGAAGTACTTTTCGAAGACTATCCATTTCTTCATCTTTTGTGCCATGTATATCTCTCGTGAATGAATTAAGTTCAGAGGTACCCAACTTTTTAATTCATTATACCGTAAAATGATCTTTTAATAAAAGAGTTATCGAGCCTCTGAGCTCCTATCAGCTTCCATCATGAGCTTAATTGAAAAATACTACTCAATAGATTATAGTAGTATAGCATTAGGACCAGTTTTCTCATCACAACGATTAAAGTATGCATTTATCTTCTATACAGATGAAAATGATCGATAACTGGAAGTAATACGCTGTTTTTTCAGCTTAACCGTGAATCAGTTTTCTAGAAGACGAGACCTTACTTTTTCGATAAAATATATTGTCCAAATTTAGGTTCAAAATATGTTGATTTTTTATTTTCTCTCAGTTCACTCTAAATTATGTGCAGTTAGCAATGTTATCCATAACATTTTACATAAATGAAACTCAATTTTACTAGATAGATTGTCGTTAATAGCAGAACACTGATGGAAACAGAAAAGCTTCAATAGTATTAAGTCTTAAAAGTGCAGACAAATGTAGGCTATATGTACCGTGTCAAATTACTAGGTGTCCTATTAGTTAATCTATCCCAAAACGGTATTTGGCATTTACTTCAAATTAAAAAGTACATATTATGTTACACAGAAGGTATATCAAGACCTGACAGTAAAAGTTGCGGCAGGAACCTATTTCCAAAACCTGTAGGACTTTTTGACAAGATAACATATGACGTCAACTGTCGGATGACAGTGGGAAATTTTAGAGGAATTATCTCTTTTTTTCTCACTTTTTTTCAAATAATAAAATTGTGATTTCAAATCAACAAAGGACGAAACTGTATTTCTGTATACCTTTGACAATTTCTGCTTCTGAATGCTTTAATATACAATAAGCTAAACCTTTGAAATTATTCACTAAATTTAAAATTGAAAAAGTGAAGTTATTTTTGAAATTTCTGATACCAGTGACCAGAAATCAAACTATTTTAGCTTACGGAGATGAAATTAATACCAAAAAATACTAGTGACACAACCTATCTCTATTCATTTCTTCAATAACAGCTTCTTATAATTTTAAGCCTGAAATCATCTCCTAAATTTGCTTGTAAGAGTGCAAACCAAATTAGTTAAATATTGATGTCATTTAACGCCGGTTGTGTGTGGGCATTTGAGACCAACTGTCTGTATTCTTCCATACTGACTACAGTGGTCAGCAATCTAAAAGAGTCTGAAAGGGTTACTGCTAATTACTGGACACAAAGCTAACACCTCCACTACTTTATGCAGTTATATTTCGTATCTATCACAACCTTCTACTGGTGATAAACCATCAAATTGGTAATGCATTGGGTTGTTGAAGGTTTGGACCAACCTTCTTAACTTTGAGGAGAGTTGGATGGTCAAGACCAAAGATTCAACCAGGTTTGAGTTCAATGTTGGACAAGTGAAGCACACACATAGGTCTTACTGCCATATCTTTCCCGCCACCAATAAGGGGCAAAAATATATGTGGTCCAACTAACTCGTAACTGGAGTTCGACTGACAACTCTTTAAAGAGGCAATCTTCCACCAATCCTCTCGAATGCTGGCTTGCGACAAAATGATTCACCCGTGTCTACCGTTGGTTTGATATCGGTCAACGCCAAGTGAGACAGTAACTCTCCTTATAACTGAAGTTAGTACTAGACAGGAATAAGTGATTGGTAGAAAAAAGTTGTAAAAGTGATCACCACTGTGAGTTTATTGTCATGGCTACGGTATTTTCCTCCCAGATACTTTTCTAATTGTTTGATTGCGCAGCTTTCCTGTTTAGAAGTTTACTTTGACCTATATTGAGAATAGGTATGAACCTCATGTTTTCTGTGGCAAACTTACAGTTTTGAAAAGAACCATCGTTGTATCGTCTGAGCGTGCAGGCGGAGACTATTACTGATAATCTCCGAGTAACACAGTCTCTTCCATTTCTTACATATCCATTCATTTGGGCAATACACAGATGCCTGTTGACTGGTATCCAGTTGAAAAGGGCTTATTTTACTAAACAGCCTAATGCTATACTTACACCACTTGGATCACGGAATCTAGGTAGTGAATATTTGGGTACTGTAAAGGGAAATTTGCAGATTCACCACACTGGTTAAGAGAGATCAAGTGAATGAACACGTTTGGAAATATATATTACTGAACACATGAGTAGTTATAAACCACTTCTACTGATCTGTAGATTTTGCTAGCCCAGATCAAGGTAATCTAAGAACCGGATGGCTGCCTCATTCGTTATGAACCGAGTTCATCAGTAGTGTACCTGGACAGATGCAGCTCACAAAACTGCATTGTTCACACCAACCTTGCAATAAGTAAGTCATTTGCGAGTTGTTCATCCTACTTAAACCCATCTGTATCTACCATGTAAGTCTCGGAAACACAGTGTACACCCCTACTTCTGTATTCCATAATTTTGTCAAGAGACGCCTGTTGTCCTATTTGGTATTAGGTTCGGACGTTGGAAGCTGTAATTTGAAATTGGTAGTATGATTTTATTCAGTAGTTAAAGAAGACAATTAATCTTTTCCTAATCCTCCCTTCTGATAGCGAAGGTGGTATCGGAGTGAAAAGTTGGTTATCACAGGAAATAAATTACTACTATCATACCCGGTTCAGCTATCACTATGACTTCACGGTAAAACCACCATCATAGCGAAAGCTATTATCACTATTATGGTAACTGCCTTCGGTCTTAACGCTATCTAACAAGCCGCTAATAATAATGATAATCTCTTTATTCGATACAATAACTTTTAGTACAGTTTTGGAATTCTCGGTGTGATATTTCAATGAATTTACTTCTTGTCCAATATTTTCAAACCAAAAAACCATGGCGGCTAAATAATGTTAATAATAGCAGTAAGATAAGCAGATATACACAAGAACCAGTAGTTTTTAAATCATCATCTCGTTTATACGTTGTTGCACTTCGGTTGGATAAAAAAGTACATCTAAGTTTGGAGGTCTATTCATTCAGTATGAAAATTCTTCTGTTCCAGCTACGTGTTCCTGTAATAGTTATTTGATGTACTGTTGTGGATTCAAGGGTAAGCTGCTGTCAACTGTAAGATTTTCTCTTAGTCTTGTTGCTAACATTTCCAACTGTAGGTCGAAGACATTATAAGGAGGCTGGAAAACATGTTTTATGATTAGCTGAAATTTGAATGATTAAAGCAATG